GAGAGGAAGCGGTTGGGGATGCTGCACACACCGCTGGCTTTGAGGCTGGAGGAGGGGCTACAGGCTGGAGGATGAGAGTGGCCTTTGGAAGCTGGGGAAGGTGAAGGAATGGATGCTCCCCTGGGGCCTTGGCAAGGAATGCAGCCCTGTGGAGACATATTGGACTTCTGCTCTCCAGGGCTGTGAGATAATAAATTTATGTGTAAGACAATAAGACTGTGGTAATTTGTTACAATACACACTATCTTGCCTTGGCAGCTGTGTGGGAGACAATAAACTTCCATTTTGTTTAGCCAACACCACTTTGGTCTTTGCCTTATAGCTAAACCTGCCAAAGGACTTTTTTTTTCTGGGGTGGGGGAGGGAAGAGGCAAAGATACAGAGGACTGGATGGAGTTACCAGTTTCCCAGGCATCTGGTGTCAGAAACTGCTCGTTGTCTTGCAATATCTGTCTTCCCTTTTGTTCATAGTAATTGAATCTCAGCTGACTGCATCACCTCTCAGAATAAAGATTGTATTTCCCGGCTTCGGAGGCAGCTAGGTACAATTGTGTAACTAGACTCCGGTCAAGGAGGTGTCAGCTGACAGGCAGTAAGGCCTTTGCTGTTTCTCCTCCAGCTCTTCCTTTCTCCTGCTACCGGGAGCTCAGGCGCTGTCACCTTGGGCCAGGAGGTCAGACCAAACACAGAAGAACAACAAGGGAGAAGGGACCTGGGCCTCTCCACGATGGCACACCGCTGAATTGCCTGATAGTCAGCCTAGGTCTTTTCAGGAAATAACTTCTGCCTTGTTTAAGACACTGTAATTTTGGGTTTTCCTCCTAGTCTCAGACCAAACAAACCCTAACAGACAGCCACCTCAAATGCTCTTCCTTAAATGATTGACTCAAGATTATTTTGAAGATTAATTTCAATTCCCTGGTAAGTACATCTTTACTGGGTTTGAGTTTGAAAAGTCTGATGTTTTCTATTCCTAACCATTGTCTAGAGTATTGAAAACACTGTAGATTTCCTCCCATGATAACTTTGTACTTCTAGGAGGAAAGTTTGGCCACCAGGGGCATAGGTCACATTCACTTTGTTGGCTTCAGTGCCAAGTGAGTCCCAGGTTTCCCTGGAAACACTGCCCCAATGAGCCCAACCATTGCTGCTAAACTCTCTTAATTAAAATCCAATCCACAGAAGCTACTTGCATCCTGCTCAAGTTCCCCAACCCTGTTTGTGGCTACAGAGATCCCGAATTCAGTCCTAACCTAGTCACCTGTTGGAGATGCATGCTCTAGAATTCTTACTTATTCATTCTAGGGTACTTTCATGTCTTGAACTGGAGGGTCAGCAGGGGTCACCTTCTCCTGAAGCTAGTGGGCTATGTATGAGTGGACTTTCTTAGAGCTAGGGCTCACCTCTGTGCAGAAGGCAGCCCCTTGCTGTCCCTCCCATCCCCCCCCCCAACAACTATTTCCAGTACCTGCTGCCTGGAGAGCAGGATGTGTGCCAGGTGCTTGCCCACCTCTGCTGACCGATGGAGACACACCCCCCAGGGGTTGTCAATGATGTTGGCCACACTGAGGAGGGAAGCTGGCCAGGTCAGGGCTGCCACAATGCCTGTGGAGGTAGACAGGAGATCAGTGAGGATGGGGAAGTTTTGCTAGGGAAGTGACTGACTAATGGATGGTCAAGTAAAACATGCAGAGTCTCTCACTTGGAAGTGTAAGTTTTCCAAGTGTTGCCAAACTCCAAATAGCAAAGGAGACACTTAAAATGTTAGCATTTCAGTACACGGTTAAAGCTCTTTTTCCCGAGCTGGCCCCAATCTGTTACCCCATCCTTAATCTTCACATTTTGCTTCTTAGCCCTTCAGGTCCCCTCCCCCCATTACCACCCTGCCCATCTGTCAGGTTCAGCCATATGACTTGCTTTGGCCGAAGAGATGTTAGTAGTTAGTAGATGTGAGGCTTGAACTGGACTTGGCTATTGGGCTGCCTCTCTTGCACTGCTCCCATTGATATGGGCTAGCCTGCCAATGTCGGGCAGAGAGATACACAGAGCAGAGCTGAGTTGCTCTAGCTGCCCCAGGCAAGGCTACCCTAGACTAGTAGGCAGTCAGCTGACCCACAAATCCATGACCAGGTCCAGCAGACATCACCCAACTCCAGCCTCACCACTCCTGAGCTATTAGAATGCGTGATTGTTATCTTAGGGCACAAGTTTGAGGGTAGCTTGTTATGTGACAGTAGTTAACAGATACGTTATGTGATTGGCAGTTGACCTGTCTCCTGTCACAAAAACCATGACCTTCTCACAGACAGGAATGTAGCCTTCGCCTCCAACACAGTGCCGGGCTCCCTGGGGGTTGCAGGTGTACAAGGTTAGGGTACCACTGTGTTCTAGGAAGCTGGCTTACCGGACAGTACGGTGTACTTGAGGGCCTCCTGGGCCACCATGTTGGCGAGGCCACTGAGGATGGTCTCCAGGGCATTGCCGAGCTCCATCAAGTACTTAGCCTCCCAGGCCAGGCAGTACTGCTCACGGCTGTGGGCCAGGGCGGCCCAGGGGGCACTGAAGGTGCCTGCGGAGAACACAGGTAGGTGGCATCTCTCCTGCCTGTGGCAAAGGATACTCCACCCACTGAACCAGACAGGCAGTGATAGCCTCAGCCAGCAGGACAGATAGAGCACCGTGTGCCCTGCAAGTCATCTCAGGGATGGGTTTCAATCCTAACTTCTGCTCTCATTAGTAGCAAGGTGACCTTGGGAACAACACTATCTAACTTTGACCTTCTCTTGGCTTATCTGCAAAATGGGGGGATTACTATCTAGCTCCCTTCCCAGGGTAGTGGTAAGGTGAATTGTTTAAGCAACTCTATGTGTAAAATATTACTTTCCTCACCCTGAAGGAATTAGACCCTAAGCTGCTAACATATGATGGGACCAGCTGTGTGGCTCTGTGAGTCACAGCTACCTTAAGTCAACATACAGATTGTGGGAGCTAGAAATTGTGGGAGCTAGAGTTATCTGAGCCCATTTCTGCGGGGCCAGGCAATTGTTCTGGGCCTCAATTTCCTCACCTAGGAAGTAGAAAGGGGAGGAGGAAGAGACAGTAGCCCCACAGCAGCCAAGGTGAAGTAGTAAAGTGTAAGCATGACCTCCTGTCTCTCTCCTTTCCTCTTTTCCTTCTTGCCACCTCTGCCTTCAGGACAGCAGCACAGAGGAACACCTGAGCCACCCCCCTGTGACCCAAGGGAACTTTTCAGATCACATGTCTTCTCCCACCCCTTCGATAGCTAAGGGTCTCACACCAGCCCTCCTAGCTCTCTCTCATTGGTCTTCCTGGTTCTAGTTTGATCCCCCTTCAACAGGGAAGACTTCCTGGCCCCTCTAACAGATCTAAGGCACCAGAATGTTCCTGCCATGTCTGTTCACAGTCTGTAAGTAATTACACATCCCAAGTTTGATGTATGTCTCTCTTACAGTTCATTTGTTCAAGCGCCATGTCCCCAAAACCCAAAACAGAACGCACAGTAAGCACCAGGATGAAGAAGGGAGAGTGGAGCCAGATGTCCAGAGCCTTTTGAGCATCTCTGTTCCACCTGTCTGCCCGTCCCGAAGGCTTCGCCCTTATTTGCAGGGAGCTACCTCAGCAAAGACGACCCTGTAGCTGCCCTCTCCCACTCTGCAGGGACCCTGTCTCAGCCCTGTAACAACTCTGGGATTGATGTTTCTAATTAAGGAGAAGGTGACAGCAAGCCCTGAGAGAGGCGGTGCGTGCAGACAGGGGAAGCATGGCTTTGATGTGCCATCTGGACAGGGGTCCAGACCCTGGCCCCAGTGTGGCAGCTTCATAACTGTATGAGTCACAGCAAGTCATAACACCTTCTGAACCTTGCTTTTTCATCTACAAGAATGGAATCAGAGCATCTGACTCACACAGATGTTCACAGCGATTGCAGCAGAGGCTGCACAGAAAGTGTTAATATAAACTGTACAGTGCTGTGCTTCTGTTCTGGACCAGCCCATGGCCAAGAGCCCATGGCTAGGGAGCTGGGCAGAACAGGGTGAATCCTGCCCCTGACCAGCTGAGTGATGTTAACAGCTCTTGTAGGCTTTGGTTTCCTTATCCATGAAATGGGTGCGAATGATGCTCACCTCCTGGGCTGGCACAAGTAGCTAAGGGAGCTGATGCATGCAAAGTGCTTGGCTCCTGGCGAGTGGTCGGCTACAAAGCAATTATTGCCATCTACAGACCCATTAGTGTTATTTTACACCAATTATTCCCATCACACTCACATGCACACACACATACACACACACACACACACACACACACACACACAGAGTCTTTTTTTTGGTGGGACTGGAGTTTGAACTCAAGACTTCATACTTGTAAAGCAGCTGCTCTACCACTTGAGCCACATCTCCAGTTAATTTTGATCTGGTTATTTTGGAGGGGGGGGTGGGGTATCTCATGAACTATTTGCCCAGGCTGGCCTCGAACTATGAGACTCCCAAGTAGCAAGACTTACAGGTGAGAGCCACTGGCTCACAAGCAGTCTTGATGACAATAAGGCCTCAAGGAGAGAGAAATGGGAGTTTTTTTCCTCCTTCTTGAACTTCCTTTAGCTTGGTTATCTTTCCTTTAACCACCCCTCTGTCTGTGCCCCACATGTACTAGAATGAGGAAGAGAATGAAGAAGGTGAACTGGTGGAGTGGCACAAGTGTAAAGCACCTGCCTAGCAAGTGTGAGGCCCTGAGTTCAAATCCCACTACCGCTAAAAAGAAAAAAAGTGAAAGAGAAAGAACAGTGAAGGTGATTTCCCCCTCCCCCACAACCAAACTTGACTTTTGATAAGAACAGGTAAAATGAAGCCAAGGGATGCTGGCTACAATTGCAAAATCCTTATCCTTTACTTGGATCCTTTTTGTGTTCCTTCCTTCCTGCAGGATGGTAGAGTGAATACAGGTGAACAGAAACCCAGATCTGCAGGTCAGGAGACTTGGGTTTTAGTCCTACACCTGCTGTGTGACCCCTCTTCCAACAGATCAGGATAAGCCCCCACCTCATGGGATGGATGTAAGGGTCACAGAGATGCATGTTCTATGGTGCAGGTGGAATGCCTGACTCAGGGTAGGTATGAACCAGGTGCTCAGTTAATTAAGTGTGACAGGCCTGGAGGTCACACACAAGGAAGATCAATGCTTGGCAACTCCTCTAGATGCTCACTCACTTGCTTTCTGGTGAGTTGTTTGGAAAGCTGGGCACCCTGCCTTGGATATCAGAGGCTTGGGAACCCAGGGGCTCTCAGCTGGCCTGCCTGGTTGCCTGTATTGGGAGATGCAGGATTCCCTGGCCTGCCTGCCCTTCCTCTGGTTGATGACTGTTTGCTGAGCCTCATGCAGGGACCTGCAGAGGGGAGCCAGGCAGCAAGTGGTCCACCCTGGTTGGAACCCCTGAAGCATGCACGTTCAGATCAGAGCAGAGGAACTAACAAAAGCCAGCTAGAAACTATTTGCAACCACATGCTGTCGGGTGTAATTTAAACTTTGTAGCAACCCTAAGTGGCAGGAATCACGTGACAGATGAAGTCACTGAGGTATGGGGAAGTTAACTAGCTTGAAGTCACATGGCCAAGATGTACTGATCTTTCACTCATGAGCTTAAAGCCTTTTGTTTTTTTCCACTTGCTCTTGAGGACAAATGTAAACTCCTTGCCACAGCTCACATGCTCCTGCGTGGTGTGGCACTGCCCACATTCCTGCCTTCTGGTCCCCGATGCTCCTTTTGTTTTGTTTGCTTTTTCCATTTGTACCACTGGACCTTTGCACATGCTGCCCCTTCACTTGGTATATGCTTTTTGCTTCCTTATCCAGCTAACTACCAGCTAGACCTTAGCACAAATATCAGTTCCTCCAGGAACCTTCCCCATGAACATCTCACGTTTCCCATGTTAATTACTTGGTCTGTCTTCTGTCTTGTGTGTTCCATGGGGGCAGAGGCCACGGCTGTGCTGCCCACCACTGAATTCCTAGGACCTCCCTTGCTGTGTGGCACATGGTGAATACTTTAAAAATACTGCAGAATGGCTGAATGATGGTGGCTGGATGGGTGATAGATCAGTGGGTAGGTGGATACTCCATAAATTCTACTGGATGGATGGGTGGGTGGGTGGATGGATGGAAAGGTGGATGAATAGGTGAATGGATGGATGGGTGAGCGAATAGATGGATGTGTGAATGGGTGGATAGGTAGATGGGTAGGCAAGAGGATGTGGGATGAAGTCACCTCACCTCTCCTCTCCTCTGCAAAATAGGGTTCCCATGACTCCTCACCCAGAGACATACACAGGCAAGAACCTAGCCCAGGATTTGGCTGGCAGCAGCCCACTCCATAGTGCCCACCCCCTCCAAATCCTTCTCTGCCTCTGGTCCTCACGGTATTTGCCAGATGCGAGCCATCCCGTGATGGCGATGGAGATGTGCAGCTGCCTGCCCTCCGTCAGAGGCAGGAATGTGAACTCCTCGATGGCCCCAACACGCTTCTTCATCTTGTATCCTACAGACCCAGACATGAGAACAAGAGTGGAGGTGACTGGGACCCCCAGGGTCGGCATGGTAGGTGTCTGTGCTCACATACTCTCACAGCAAGCACCGACTGGACAGATGCACTTGTTTGTGACTCCTTGAAGGCAGGTGCCAGTATTGTCTCTGATTACAGACAGCCCCTGAGTGGCAGACTGGGGTCTGAACACGAGGTCTTAACCATGCCCCATGGTCATTAAGATACTCGGTTGGTATCTTTTTTCCTGCCCATGCTTCAGGCTGTGACCCATTGCTCATAGTAAGAGGGGAATCAAACTGGTCAGGACTCTCAGCAGGGGAGTGGTACACCACGTGGGGAGTTGCCACACAGCAACACGTACGTGTGTGACTGGGGGTCATGGATGGGTGACTCTGGTAAGTGAATGGCAGCCACCTTCTCTGTAGACACGAGGAAACTCCGTACCTCCCAGGGGGTCTGCCTGCATTTACTGGGTGGCGGAAGCAGGCTTAATTGAAAGGAAGTTGCATGGGGGGAAAGCCCGGTTTTCAAACTCAGCCCTTAAGCTGGCCCAGCTGGGTACTGGCCCAGTGGCCTCTGTGAGGACTGCTGCAAGCTGAGCCCAATGGGGACCCTCAACTCCTCTGCTTCCCAAGGAGCCCTCTCTGGGGAGAACCTGGGTGCCTGCCCTTTAGGTCAGTCCACTGTGGATGAAGACCCTCTCCCAAACTCCTATTGCTCTTGGCCTTACCTGTCAGGCCAGCTCCAGCTGCCCCAAACAGCGAGGTCATGACAGCTATGCCGGCCGCTGAGCCCAGTGCAGCTGCCCCGGCGCTCCCAATAATTGTCGCAGCTCCCGCAGCAACAAGAGGGGCGGCCAGGCCCCCGGTCAAACCTGGGGGGAGAGCAGCCCACGGCGGGTGAAGGTGGCAGTTAGTATATGGCTCAATGAGTTCTGGGCCCACTGGCTGCTTTCCGTGGAAGTTTCCATCAAGGCAGAAGGGGCACAGCTACTACTGATCAAGCCCCTGCCATGTGCCGGCCCCTCCCAGCTGATCCCCTATGCTCTCCATGGTCACTCTGAGCTTAGTGTACCTCTTGCTCAACACGGGCCCCACCCAGGTGCCATCACCCCCAGCCAGCCTCACCAATCACTGTTCCGCCACCGACAGTCGCCAGGCCTATCAGGAGATGACGCTTCCATTTCCTCTTCTTTTCTTTCTTCTTCCGGGATGCTTCAGCCATTCTGGGAGAGAAGAGGTTGGTCTTTAGGGCCAACCATGGCCGGATCCCTGAAGACCTCCCACCTCACCAACCCCTAACCTGAACTCAATGGTGGATAGATAGGTACTCTGTCATGCAAAGGAAGTTACCATTTTCATCCTGGGCCCATGGAGGTTTTTCTTTTTCTTTTGGCAGTGCTAGGGTTTGAACTCAGGGCCTACCCCTTGAGGCACTCCACCAGCCCTGTTTTGTTTTTGAGATAGGATCTCATGAACTATTTGCCTGGGCTGGCTTTGAACCGAGATCCTCCTGATCTCTGCCTCCTGAGTAGCTAGGATTATAGGTGGGAGCTACTGGCACCTGACTCATGGAGGATTTTAAGGAGCTGAAACCACTCTAAATCCCAGCTGGGGAATCTCAGTGCATAGGTCATACTACTTACCCAACAGATCCATCCTAACAGGGTTGCAATTTGAATAATGAAAAAAACAATAATAATAGCAAGAGAAGCACAAAAAGTATCTTTCAACAGTGGACCCAGAACTAGTACAAAATAAGAGTCCCACACTCCACAGCCTCCCTCCCTCCCTCCTCCTGCCAAGGGATCCCACCTTTGGGGCATTTAGAAATCAATTTCCTTCAGAAAAATCGCTCTGAAGATGGGTTAGAGAAATGTGGAGACCTTGGCCTTGGAGAGCAGGCTGGAATGTAAATGTTACAAAATCTAGTGAAAGGAATGAGCTAGGGCCAGCGCCAGCTCTCAGGCATCATGGCACTCATTTTCTCGATGGACCATCAGCCACCTTCAGGCGATTGGAAGCCAGAGGAGAGGCGGAGGGTGGTGCATGGTGGTCATTATGAGGGAAATCTGAATTAAAGATGGAGTTCAGACAACTCCATGTGGAATGATAACAAATAACGGTGATAATAAGTGATGGAAATGGTTAATATTTAGTGAGGGCTTCCTTTGCACTTCATACTTTATTTTACCATAGGAAGCAGTTTTATTGTGGTCCCCACATTACAGATGCGTAAGAGATGACAGTGGCTGCTTCCCGAGGGGCCATGGGAGTCTGTGAACCATCTAGCACAAGGGTGGCACAGGCCTCTGGGATCACACCACATCACCCCGAGCTTCAGTCTCCTTTTCTGTAAAATGGGGACAATGATGTCTACCTCGTAAGGCTGTATGAAATTCATTCTTGCGTCGTCTATTCAGTCAATAAACGTACTTTGAATGGACCATGTATCTGTGGGCAGAACAACTTAGGTGCTCACCAGTCATTTCCCATGAATGGGACCAAGAAGTGGATTTGTATTGGGCATTCCTGGAGCTGGCACGCCTTTTGGCTCCCTGCCACCTCAACACACCTATGCAGCCCTGGGTGTAAAGCACCTCAGTGCTCAGTTGCTTTGCTACCCCGGCAGAAGTCAATGATGAAAACCTGTGCACACCATGGGTGCTGGACTGCAGGAGCAGCGGGGAGTGAGGGGATGAGGATGATGACCAAGAGTGAGGGGTCTTGTGTGAGGACCTAAACCTCAAAAGCTATGTGTGTCGGGGGAGAGGGCAGGGGGGGGGCGTTGTTTCTGCTGCATCACTGAACGTCAGGTATTTAGTCATCCCCCTCCCATATTCCTCCCTCAGGGTTGGTGGGGGATTGGTTCTGTGACCCCCTGAGGGTACCAAAATCTACAGGTGCTCAATTGCTTATATAAAATAGTGTAGTGTTTACTTATAACCTATAGATATCCTCCTGCATACTTGAAAGATATTTAAATTATGCATCATACCTAATACAATGTACATACTATGTAAATAGCATTGTTTTACTCTATTGTTTGGGGAATAATGTCAAGGCAAAAAAGGCTGAACACATTCAGTATAGACTAATTTTCTTTCTTTCTTTTTTTTTTGAGACTTTGAGACAGGATCTCAGGCTGGCTTCAAGCTTGAGATCTTCCTGCCTCTGTCTCCTGAAGGCTGGTATTACAGGCATGCCAGGCCTGGCCAAAGTTTTCTAAATAAGTATTTTCTACCCTAGGTTTGTTGATCCGAAGATGCAGAAATGGTACATCCCTGTTCTGTCATCTGACAACTAAGGGCCAGCTTTAACCAATGACACACAGGTGAAAGTGATGGGTGTCAGTGTCATTTCTGGCAGAATCTTTAAGCGCCAGTGCTGGGGCCTGATATGTCTCCCTTCACTGTGACCCAATACCAGCATTATTCCAGACAGGGGTCACCATGTCAACCTGGAACCCAGAACCAAGACAATATGGACAAAAGCCACAGCGGATCTGCAATGGAGATAGCATGAATAGGAAATAAACCTTTGACGTTGCAAGCTGCTGAGATTCCTGGTCATTTGTTATCTGTTCTGGCGGATACAGCCCACTCACTGTGACCACACAGATTACGTGTCATGCCTGAGTTTCTTCATCCGACAGATGGGGATAATGGCCTTTGGCTCTAAGGGGAGCTGTGAGGACTCCGTGAGCTGACTCATACACAGTGACTGGCAAACTTGAATGTGTTTGTTGCTATATCTTCTCATTACCACAATAATTGCCGTCTAAACAGAGGTTGCCATACACTTTGACCCTCAATTAATGATCATTCAGTTCAAACAGGGAGGTTGGGAATTATTGGATTTCAGTGGGGTCCAAGGCCTGAGGAAAAAAAATCCATCTGCTGACAACACGTGACAGGGACACGAAATGGGAGGAACGGTGTGGGTCTGTGAGTCACCGGCACCAAGATTCAACAAACACTGACTGGAAAGTAGCTGGAAACCAGGGACCCCCAAACCTGGTGCTGCTGGGTCACCCAGCTCCAGCTCACATCCCCCCTAACCCCACCAGCTTGCTCTGGGAATCTCACATAGAATCCAACTATTCCAAAATTGATTGGAGGTGACCTTCCTGCAGTGGTATGTTCCCAACTCAGGGAACACAAGGGCACAGAATGGCAATGTTGGTGACATAAAAATATGTAGACAGAATACAGGTAATCACCCTCCAAATAGAAACTTCTAGAACAACAGAACAAATGTGAAATGTCAGAAAATTTTCATGATGGTTACTACCAATTGTAGACTGTTCCTACAGTGATGTCTGCATATGTATGATACCAGTCAGTCATCACTTTTGGCTGAGTTTGATGGAGAGGAAGATCCTGACTAGAACAGAGTAAAATAACCAAAATGTAAATATGGTTTTTGAAGGCAGTGCAATTTAAACGCACGAATGCTAGTAGAGCAAATCAGTTACAAAGATTAGATGGCTGACATGCTCTAATCTCTAGTCTTCTGTTTTGTATTGTTATCTGAATACTTACTAATACTTTTTGATCAGAAAAAAGTTATCTTTCCTATTGTTGTTTTGCTAAACTTCCATCTCTCCTGACAGTCGGCTGAATTGATAATCTATTTCCCTATTTTTTATTTAAGTATTTGTGCAATCCTAATCATTGGTTTCTGTGTAGAATGAATAGTTTCCCGGTAGTCATCAGTTATCACAGTGTTTCACTCCTGCAACAACTTCAATGGACTTACTGAACTTCAACATCCAGTGCACAAGAAGAGAAGTTTGTTCTGAGTCACATCTAGAATGCTTCCTTTTCCTTGGAAGTGAAAAATCAGACTTTTAAATCTAAATGACAGCTTTGTCCCTGCTATGGACTTTGCTCTGTGCTTAGACACGATGGCAGCCCATCACTCATGTTCTAGAATGCCATTGGCCAGTCACTCATGTTCTAGAATGCCAGGCAAGAACTTGAGTTGGTGGTTCATGTCAGCCACGGATGGAGGCCAAGGTCATACTGTGACCTTGGGTCAGACCCCAAGCTGCCATCAAAGTCACCCTGGCACTGACAGTGCCACAGATCAGACAGCTAATGTTCACTGGGCCTTTTGATGAAAGGTAATTAATTTAATCCTCCCAACAACCCTCTGATAGAGAAACTACCATTGCTCCCATGTTAGAGACAAAGAAACTGAGGCACAGAGAGGTGAGGTCACTCAATAAGCAAGGGAAACTTGGATGTCCTCAGGTTTCAGAAGGGGACCAAGAACAGCAGGATGTGTGATCATATCTAAACCCCAGCGCGTCACATAAGCTCACCTCACAGAAACACAACAGAAAGATTAAAAAGAGTTAAAAGAAATCTACATAGAATCTGATTCCCTAATTGAAAAACTGGTGCTGGTACCCAGAGAAGGCAAGCTACTTTCCCAAGGCCACACAGAAAATTAGTAGCAGAATCAGATTGAGAACCAGGTCTCTAAGCTGAATCGTTGCTAGGCTTCCCCTGGATCTCAGATACTTCTGGAGACCACAGTGAGAATCTGAGAGGTCTCTGCACATTTCTGGGGAAAGCATCCTATGTAATAATCACAATGATAATAGTTCTGTTAACAAGTAGCAAGTTATGATCTTTGTGGACTGATTACTCGTCCCAGGCCCACCTGAAACACTTTGCATGCATAACTGCACTGAACTCATTTCAGCCCAACAAGAATCCTATGAGAAGGGTCCTATTATCATTCCCATTTTGTAGGAGAAGAAACTGAGGCACAGAGAAGTTAAATACTTGCCCAGGATCACACTGACGGTAAAGTACAGGAGTTGAGCTGTGTTAGAACTTCTGATATTATCAGAACTTATTTATATTATCAGGACAAATCTTCCTGGTAAGATAAGATTTCCAAACAATAACGGACAGGCTCCTTAATCTTAATGCCTATAAGACCCTACAAATTTCCAACCTATCCAAAGAACCTGGTCAGCCATTGCAAATATGGTAATTTGCCTAGGCCAAGGTGTTTCCTCACTGACACCTTTCTGGAGTCAAAGCAAGAATGTTCTTAGGTTATTTTGTTTCCTTCTTTCTCAAGGTAACAATACTCCTTCCCTTTGCCCTATAAACTCTGGCGGAAGGGTGGCTCTGGCTCTGAACTTGGCTTCAGGATCAAATCTCCAGCTGGGTTGAACTGGAGCAACCAGGTTGTTCAAAGAAAGTCATCGTAGATGAGCAAAACTCAGGGCCGGGCAGACATCCCTGGTGCCAGCAGCCCACAATTAGGCTGCGACTGGGATTGATTTATTGCACTGGGATTAGATTCTAGGTAAGGTGTTCTCCAAACAGCTGTGCTCTGGCCAAGTCACTGAGCTAATTTCCCTGTACACATTCTTAACCATGCATAATCGCATGCAGCAGGGGTGGGGGGACTTGCATTCACCCAGCACTTGCCATGTGCCGGCCTTGGGCCAAGCATTTTACAATGTGTTCCTATTCCTGTCTTCCAATGACTCTGGGAGGACGCTATCCTTACTCCCATTTTATAGATAGGAATACTGAAGCTTAGAGAAAGGAGGCCACCTGCCCGAAGTCAAATAGCAGTTGGGTGTTGGAAGTAGGATTTGAACCCAGCTCACTTGGGTCCAAAGACAAGGCTTCCTAAGAGCCTGAGGTAGAGTAGGGTGTCAGGGCCATTGGATATTAAAGTCACTGATTCACCACCCTTAGTAATTGGCCATTTGAGTCTCTCTGCTTGCAAACGAGGACTGAAGCCCAGAGAAGACAAGTGTCTTGCTAAGATCACACAGTGAGTCAGGGACAGTTGCAACTCTCTGTCCAGCACTCCTTCCACCTCACTGTGCCATCTCTCGATGGGGAGGGGACTCTGTGATCTGCAAAGTCCCCTTAAGTGGACATCTGCGGCTCTTGCCAAAGGCTTTAGGGCTCTCTTACTCAGATTCCTCCTCCTTGGTTTCCTTTAGGCTCTCAAGGAATGTCTCTTCAAGGATATCCAGGTCCTCCGAGGGCACGTGGAGCAGAGAAGTCACATGGCAAATGAGGACTCTGGCCCTGGCATCATAGTGCCCTCAAAAGAGAGAACACAAAGAATTACTTTAGGTTTTAAGCACAGACATGTTAATAGCAGTGCAATTAACAAAAGCTCAAACCCTATAACAATCCTATGAGAGCCAGACATGCCTGGCTCCATCTGCCTCCTTTCCTCAACAGTGCCCCCTAGCACCAGACTGCTTTGTCCCCAAGTGCCTGTAAGTCTCCAAGTGGACAGTCTTGGTTTTAATTGACCCTGTGATTTTCTAAAGGGCTTTGGCCCACTGTACCCTTTGATACTGAGAAAATAAGTACACATCACTTATGGCAGTACTGCATGCAAGCTAAGCTATCTAACTTTCCTATGGATGCTGTAATGAATTACCAGAGGCTTGAGATAACACAAATTTCTTCTTTTATAGCTCTGCGGCCAGAGAGCCTAGGATTAAGGTGTTAGTAAGGCTGCATTCCTCTAGGGGACACTAGGAGAGATCCTGGACTTTCCCAGCTTCTTCTGCTCTTGGCCACATGGCTCCAACCTCTGCTTCTGCCACCATGCCTCCTTCTTTGACACTTCTTCCTCCTATTCACAAAAAGATCTTTGTATTTCTACTGGGTCACCTGGATACCCTAGGATAATGTCACCACTTCAGGATGTTTAATTCAGTCACAGTTACAAAGTCTACAAAGTCCTTTTGCTGTGTAGCAAAGCCACAGGATCCAGGGATTTGAATTTTTTTTTTTTTTCGATACTGGGGACTGAACTCAGGCTAGGCAAGCACTTTACCATCTGAGCTACACCCTCAGCCCTTTTGGTTTTAGCTTATATTTCACTATCTTTGTATGGGCTTACTTCACCTTCCAAGTAGCTGGCATTATAGATGTGTGCCACTATGCCTGGCCTAGATGTGGATATCTTTGAAGGGCACTGATTCTATCTATTGCTTAAGCCTTGAGCTTTTATTTTCTCCCAAGATGAGGCTTAGCCACCACTTCCTCTCTGACCTCTCTGGATCACTTTTTCTGTTGTGGGTCTGTGGTCCTACCTGGTTCCTCTACAGCATCTTCCCCCATGCAATTGTCTGTGTAGATCACAAGCTAACTCAGTCGGACATCCAACCCTAGTAACTTCCTGGGGTGGAGTGCTTATTAAAAGCTCAAAATTGGATCTTTTTGACAGAGAAAGTCATAGGACTTGGCGTTCAGTTATTATACATCAGCCTCCCTCCAGGACTCTGTGAAGACATGAGTTATCAGAAATGCTAATTTCCATTTCTGGCTGCCATCTGAGTAATCTGAGAAGTCTGTCAAAATTGAGGTTTCCTGACCAGAAATGGTGATTCATGCCTGTAATTCCAGCTACTCGGGAGGTAGAGACAGGAGGATCAAGGTTCGAGGTCAGTCTGGGCAAAAGATGTGAGATCCTATATGAAAAAGAAACTAAAAACAAAAAGGATTAGGGCTCAAGTGGCAGAGTGCTTTTCTAGCAAGCTCGAGGTCCTGAGTTCAATCCCCACTATCACCAAAAAACAAACAACAACAACAAAACACCCAAAAAAAGCAATAGAGGTATTCTGGCTAGACATGGTCCTTAGTGCTAGAGTGAGGTTTCCTGAGTCCTGGCTTAGGGGACCCTCCTTTCCCTGGCTGCAGGTTTCCATGGCAGAGACAGCATGACTGAGCCCCCTCGATCAGTTCCTGCCTTACCCAAGGGTCCTCACAGTCAGTCACAGTCTCCTAGATCAGCTGGCATTTGCACACTGCCCTCGGCAGCTTCCCTTCCTGGCTGGGGAGCCGTCTACGTGCCGAGGGAACACACATGTCTGCATCTTGGTTAATGAACGGTCCACAGAGGTGTGGCTTCTCCTTTGAAGCCAAACCTGCTGCACCCAGGTGATAATCAAGCTGTGGAAACCAAGGCTTGGCCATGATGATTAACTGTGGCAATTATAAGTAGTTGCTAATACCTACTCCATCGGTCAAGGTCGCAGAGATACAGCTTCTAGAATACAGGCTGCCACGTGCTCAGGCGATTAGTATTGTTGGAGTGCTATGAGGCATGGGGCTCTGTCCCTCAGCCTTGAGGAAGGTCATTTCAAGGACCTTGGTGACTGGGCTATTGATCTTGGAGCTGAGCTTTGAGGCAGATAAATCGGATAATGAATCCCTGGCTACCTGGGACCCTGGAGCTCTTTGGTCTTCACTCTCCTGCCAGACCACAGACCTGTGTTTCTGGTCCACAAATCCACTTTGGGGCTGGTGATTGAGACCAAGGCCTGTGCACAGTAGGCAAGCATAATATCACTGAGCTATACCCCCAACCTTGGTTTCTTGAACTATTCCACTCTCCTGAAGAGGTGAGGACTGGTAGTAACTTCATCTGAAAGAGGAACGTGTAGAGAGCTGTGGTCACTTGCCCAGGTTCACCCAGCTAGTGGGAAGTCTTGCTGTGGAAGTTTGTCCTTGAATACACCGGTCTCATGGAAACCAAAGCCACAAGAGCTCTGGACATGGTCTTCCAGATCTGCATGTCTCTCCTGATTCCATCTGTTGCTTTTGGCCTTGGCTCCTACCATCCAGCCTCCTTCTGACCCTGGGTCAGCTCCTGATCTTAGACTTTGAGGCAGTGAGTGTTCTGCCTAGAAGAGGAGGGCTCTAGTCAGCATCAGCCCCCTTGCTGCTCCAGAGAGTAGCTCCCATTCCAGTTCAGGGTCTGGGACAGCACCTTTGGACTAAGGGTAGGAGCTGGTCCCCTAAGGTCCTTTCCAGGTTGGGAGATGTAAGGGACCATCTCAGAGTGCTTATTCTTCCTTTCAGGCAGGGACCTTCAAAAGTCCAGGGTCAAGTGGACTTGAAATAGCCCAACAGTAGAAAATCTGGAGACCTAAAATGGGGATGGTGGTTCTTAAACTTGAGTATGCATAAAATCATTGGGTTTTCACTCATGAAAACTCGGGCTCCTAGGCCCTACCTGCGGGAGCCTGGGGAGGGGCTGCCCAGGTGATTCCAAAGTGAGAGGTTCCTACTCCAGGAAACAGAGCAGTGTGTTCTCCTCCCACAGAGGCCAGCTTTTCCCAGTGTGGTTGTGCTCATGCCCGGGGGCTGGAGTGTGAGCAGGAGGACCCTTCTGTGACCTCTATAAGGAAGGGGTCGAGCATCTGGGCACCATGCAAGATGCTTCATTCGTGGTTTCTGATCCTCCCGATGACCTAGGAGGGTGGCTTTATGATGCCCCATTTTGCAAATGAGAGAGCAAGAAACTTTCTCAAGGTCACACAGCCGAGAGTGAAGAGCTTAGATTATAAGCCAGGACTGTCTGATGCCAGCACTTCTGCTCATCCCACTGTGGCTGCCTTTTAAAGGCAAATCCCCTAAAGTGGAGTGCATCTGGGGCTCTAGGACAATGCCATGGCCAGCTGTGCAAATGGGGTATATACACAATCCTAGGGATAGCCCTATGCCATGGGCCACAGGCACTCCTAAAAGTGACAAGTCACCTGGGTCACCAGTTCTTTGGAAAGTGAGGTGGGATGGAGGAAGGGGCAAGGAGACCCAGGGATTTTGCTCACCCCTGACACAAACACATACTGTGCGAGTTCTTGGAACCCAACAGGTTCCCTGGTTTGGGAAGCCCTAGGGGCATTTTGGAGTTGGCCTATGCATTCATGCTGGAGCCCAGGCAAATCCACAAACCCTCCCCCCACCTCCCACTACAGAAGCCATTGACCTTGGCCCTCACTGCCCAGCACCATACTACATACTAAGGACCAGCAGCGTCCCTGGAGCTTGGCACTGAATGCCAGTCCATGGCCAGCTGTTAGTTTCTTTGTTGTTGTTGTTTTTTTTTGTTTGTTTGTTTTACAGATTTATTTTCAAAGGGCAAAGCAAACAATTTAAATACAAGTCCAACAGAGTGGATGCCAAATCTCCAATGTCAGGCTGTACTCTCCCTTGCAGACACTCGCTGCTATCATCTGAGTCCTCGCTGATATTTTATTCATACATATCCTTCTTGTCTCCAATGTAATCTACAATTTCTTGTGGGCACATTACCTTTTCTGCATCTGTATCAGGAATTTCAAACCCAAATTCATCTTTCCATGGCCACGATAATTTCCACTTGGTCCAAACTGTGTAAGCCCAGGTCTTTCATAAAATGGGAATTTACTGAGAGCTTTTCTGGGTCAGTCTTGTCATAGAGTTTCAAAATATACAGAACTCAATCCCTGATTCTCTCTAATGTCAAAGGGGGCAAGTCACTGTACTGATGACACAACTGTGTAACGCTTCCTGGAACCTGTGTGAGTGCCGAGGCCTAGCCGGTTGTTAGGATAACAACTCCACCACTTTCCCGGGGGTGGGAACAGGTAGTCTCCACTGAAAAAATACCAAGTCAGCCTCCACTGTGGGCAGGCCTCCATCTCCATATGTGGGAGCAGGGGTGATGAGTCTGGGGTTGACCTTTGGGGAGAGATTGTGGTTACTTTCTTCCCTTTGGGATGCCCTCTGGACTGAAGAAAGGAACCCAGAGGCAGAAACATTAGCCCTTGTCACACAGATCTGGATTTGAATGTTCATCTGACTACCTACTGGCTGAATGGCTTCAAGTATGTTTCTTGACCTCTCTGAGCCTCAGTTTCTTCATCTGTGAAACAGGACAAGAATACTTTTTTTTTTTGGTGGTGGCGGTGGTGCTGGGGATTGAATCCAGGACCTCCCCCATGCTAAGCAAGCACTCTACCACTGAGCCACAGGAGCACTGTGAGCCTTAAACAAATTAGGACCTGTAAAGAAAGCACTCAGCACAGAGCCAAGGCATACAGCAGGCACTCGATGAGTATCAGTCTTTGGAATTACTCCCAGTGCCTTGTACAGAGCCAGGGCATACAGCTAGATGGATGAACCAGGCTGTTCAAGATTGATCACAGATTGTCCAAATTTCAAGGGTGTTGATAAGCGAACTCAGCAACTGGGCCACAATAGCTGTATTTCAGGACAGCCAAAGACTTACAAGTCAGCCCCTCTGGCTCATCGGGG